GTCGCAGGTCCTGTGCCTCGAGAGATTTGTCATGGCAGAGCGGCTGGCCAGGGTGAGCCCGGGGGGACAGCGGGGCGCGGGGGGTGGCAGCACACGGTGGCACTGACGTCCTGCCTGCCACAGGGAGAGCAGATAAACCAGGAGTTCCCAGATGAGCTCTACGAGAGAGAGCTGCCACCAGTGGAGCTCCTGCAGCAGCTGAGCTCGCCCGGCTCCTTGGCTGCAGACTCCCAAAGCAGCACTTCCAGGCAGGTGCATAGACACCCCCGAGGGGGCAGCTGGCAGTGCCACAGGTGGGGCAGGGGGCTCGGCCCTGTCCCTCTGTCACCCCCAGCAGGTGCCTAAGAGCTGCCCCTCCTTCCAGCAGCCAGGAGCAGGTGATAAACGTGGAGGACGTGGCTGATGCTCAGCAGTTCCTGGCCGTCCCCCAGCAGCGCAGGCGCACTGCCAGTGAGCTCCTCAAGAGCAGGTGCACAGAGGGACGGGGGGACATGGGGACAGCAGGATGGCAGGTGGCAGGGGGGCTCACCCCAGCCCTGCATCCTGCAGGAGGCTGTGTGTCTCCGAGCTGGAGCAGTCGGAGCAGTTCCACCGATCCCACAACCGGTTCCTGAAGCTGCTGCTGGCCGGGTACCGCTTCGGGACCGGCCACTCCGAGCTGCTCTGCTACTTCACCATCATCCTCAACAACATGGTCACCGGCTCCCTCATCTCCCTCTTCCTGCCCATCCTCGTCTTCCTCTGGGCCATGCTTTGCAGCCCCCGGCCCACCAAGCGCTTCTGGGTGACCGCCATTGTCTTCACCGAGGTGGGCAGGGGGTGGCCAGCGAAGGGACGATGCCACCTGGCCCCCACTGCCACCCGCTGACCCCAGCGTCCCCACAGATGATGGTGGTGGTGAAATACCTCTTCCAGTTTGGCTTCTTCCCCTGGAATGGCTACATCACCCTGCTGCGCAACGAGGGCAAGCCCTTCTTCCCACCACGCATCCTGGGCTTTGAGAAGTCCATCCACTACATCAAGTATGACCTCCTGCAGCTGCTGGCCCTCTTCTTCCATCGCTCCCTGCTGCTGGTGAGCCCTGGGCCGTGGGTGGGCCTTTGGGGGGAGCTGGAGCTGCTCCTGGGGGCTCTGCAGGTGCTGGGTGGCTCTGCCGTGGTTCCCCACCAGTGCTGGTGGGAGTTGATGCTGCAGGGCGGGGAGTGAGGTGTGTGGGGCTGGGGGGCCCCTAACCATGTCCATCTGCAGTCCTATGGGCTGTGGGACCGGGAGAAGACGATGGATGAGAAGCACGAGAGCAAGGAAGAGGAGGAGAAGCCGGAGGAAGCCATGTCCCCACCGCCAGAGGTGGCTGAGGAAGGGCTGGAGGCTCCAGCCCAGCCAGGAGCACTGGAAGAAGCAGCCTCGGGGCTGGAGCTGGAGGGCGAGTCTGTGGAGCAGGACGAGGGGACCGAGGCCATGCAGCTCCGCTTCAGGAGGAAGCAGGGGAGGAAGACAACGGAGATGGTTTCAGTGGAAGGTGAGCACCAGCTCCCAACCCTCGTGCCCTGCTGAGGAGCAAGGCTGGCACCCCCAGGGTGCTGGGGCCGGGCAGGATGTGGCCCTGCAGGACCCTGGCTGTCACCCACGCTGTGCCTCACTTCAAGGGGGCGAGGAGGAGGAAGAGGAGGAGGAGGAGTCTGAAGAGAGCCACGCTCACAGGAAGCTGAAGGCGTTTGGCTTGCGGGTCAAGGGCTTCTTCCTCACCATGTGAGTCGTGGCGGTGCTGGTTGGGGTGGGGGCTGTGGGGCGCAGTCCCTGTCACCTGTCCCGTGTCCCCTGTCCCTGCAGGGCACAGAACGTGTACCAGCCAGTGTGCCAGTTCTGCCGGGACACCCTGGACACGCAGAGCCGTGCAGCCACCGACGTCTACGCCTACATGTTCCTGGCTGACGTGGTCGACTTCATCATCATCGTCTTCGGCTTCTGGGCCTTTGGGGTGAGCAGGGAGTCCCACGGGGCCCTGACTGTCCTGCCTCCACCACGGGGTGAGGCCGGGCCACATCCTGACCTCTCCTGCACCCCAGAGACACACGGCGGCCGCCGACATCACCTCCTCGCTGTCGGAAAACCAAGTGCCGGAGGCTTTCCTGTTCATGCTGCTCTTCCAGTTCAGCACCATGGTCATCGACCGCGCGCTCTACCTCCGCAAGACCGTGCTGGGCAAGCTCATCTTCCAGGTCATCCTGGTCTTCGGCATCCACATCTGGATGTTCTTCATCCTGCCCTACGTCACGCAAAGGTATGTCCCAAAGGATTCCCTGCGTGGCACCTTGGTGTCCCCGAGCCCGCGTGGTGGCCCAGGCTGGGGGCTGAAGGGTGACACGTTCCTCCCGCAGGATGTTCCGCCACAACACGGTGGCCCAGCTGTGGTACTTTGTGAAGTGCATCTACTTTGGACTGTCGGCCTACCAGATCCGCTGTGGCTACCCCACCCGCATCCTGGGCAACTTCCTCACCAAGAAATACAACCACCTCAACCTCTTCCTCTTCCAGGGGTAGGGCACGGGGCCGCAGGGAGCCCCGGGCACCCCGAGGGTGCCGTACCACTGCCCTCTCCCCGTGTCCCCCCCAGGTTCCGCCTCGTGCCCTTCCTGGTGGAGCTGCGGGCTGTCATGGACTGGGTGTGGACGGACACCACGCTGTCCCTCTCCAACTGGATGTGTGTGGAGGACATCTACGCCAACATCTTCATCATCAAGTGCAGCCGGGAGACCGAGAAGGTACAGCCCCTATGCCAGGCAGGGTCCCTCACTGAACCACTTCTGGGGTCCCCCTGAGCCCACCCTACACCGTGTGCTGTCTCCCCCCACCCCAGAAATACCCTCAGCCCAAGGGGCAGAAGAAGAAGAAGGTGGTGAAGTATGGCATGGGCGGCCTCATCATCCTCTTCCTCGTGGGCATCATCTGGTTCCCGCTGCTCTTCATGTCCCTGGTGCGCTCCGTGGTGGGCATCATCAACCACCCCATCGACGTCACCGTCACCCTCAAGCTGGGGGGGTACGAGGTGAGCATCTGGGAGGTGGCTGTTGGGGTGCCCGGTGGGACACCAGGGTGCCCTGCCTGGCTGATGTCCCCCTGTCCCCTCCAGCCTCTGTTCAGCACGAGCTCCCAGCAGCAATACATCCAACCCTTCACCTCGGAGGACTACGATGAGCTCACCAAAGAGTTTGAGAGCCAGCCGGTAAATCCCTCCACCCCAAAACTCCCCCAAAAAACCCCCTGCTGGCTGCCCGGGGCAGGGGCTGAGCCGTGTCCCCCCTGCTGGCAGTTGGCCATGCAGTTCATCAGCCTCTACGACGTGGAGGACATCGTGACCGCCCGCATCGAGGGCAGCTCGGGCTCGCTGTGGAGCATCAGCCCCCCCAGCCGCGAGCAGATGCGGCTGGAGCTGCAGAACGGCTCCTCCGACATCACCCTGCACTTCAACTGGATCTTCCAGAGGTACCTGGGCCACGGCCAGGGAGGAGCCAGCCCTGCCCGCAGCCCCCTGCCCACACTGAGCCTCTCGTGCCCGCAGGGACCTGGGCAAGGGGGGCACGGTGGAGAACGCCTACGGCAAACACGACACAGACCTGGAGCCCGGCGCGCCCCAGCGCCTGCAGCTGGCCCAGCTGCTGGATGGCACCAGGAGTGAGCCCGTGTGAGTGTCCCCTGAGGGGGTGGCGGGACCCCTGCGCTCAGTGGGATGGTGTAACACCCCGCCATCACTCCACTTTCTTGCAGGCAATTGCTAAACCTCTTCCCCAAATACATCCGGGCTCCCTCCGGCCTCGAAGCTGAACCTGTCAAGCAGCTGCTGCCAGGTAGGTCCCAACATGTCCCCCACAAGGAAACCAGCACTGCTTTCCCCACAACAATGTCCTCAGTCCCCGACATCCCAGAGATCCAACAACCCCCATGAGCCACGTCCCCAAATGTTACTGTCCCCCTCTGTGTCCTCAACACAACATCCCCAATGAGTCCCAGTGTGTCCCTCCCCAAAAAATCAGCACTGGAAGCACACCTGATGGTGCCAGCCCCTGCGGACAGTGAGGACACGAGTCCCACTGTGTCACTCCCCCCAAAAAGTCCTTAAGAGCACAGCAGCCACCGTGCGGTGCCCTGACGGTGTCACCCCCTGCAGATGACGAGGACAGCTACCTGGACGTGGAGGTGCATCTGAAACAGGAGCGCAGGGGCTCTGGCCCTGGCGAGCACTTTGTGGAGTGGTGGGTGCTGAGGCAGAAGAACGCCCCAGCCCGCGAGGGCAACATCCTCCCCATGATCATCTTCAACGACAAAGTCAGCCCCCCCAGCCTGGGCTTCCTGGCTGGCTACGGGTACGTGCAGGGTGCCAGGGTGCGGGGGGGAGCCGGAGGGACTCGCTGGTGGGACCCAGGGTGTGCCCCCCTCCTGCAGGATCATGGGGCTCTACGTGTCCGTCGTGCTGGTGATCGGCAAGTTCGTGCGCGGCTTCTTCAGCGAGGTCTCGCACTCCATCATGTTCGAGGAGCTGCCCTACGTGGATCGCATCCTGAAGCTGTGCCAGGACATCTTCCTGGTGCGGGAGACGGGCGAGCTGGAGCTGGAGGAGGAGCTCTACGCCAAGCTCATCTTCCTCTACCGCTCGCCCGAGACCATGATCAAGTGGACGCGGGAGAAGGAATAAGGGGAAGGGGCTGCAGCCCCCCCTGACAGGGACATCACCGCCAATGCCTTAACCAGCCCCCCCCAGCTGGGGCCGTGTCCCGGCCCGGGAGGCAGGGGGATGGATGTGGGGTTCTGGGCACTCCCGTGGAGGGAGGATGTTTTTCTGGATGTTTTTCTTACATTGCTTTGAAGCCGTCTGACCTGCACGGACCACGTTGTGCCTTCCCAGGGAGGGGGGACAGGAGGTGGCCCCCCACCACCCACTGGGCAACCCTGGCTGCCAGGTGGGGTTTTGGGGGGTCAAGAGCCAGCCCGTGCCCCCTCCCTGCCGGCCCCAGCCCTGCTCCAGAACCAGGCTGAACTCAAGCAATAGCCCCCCACCCCCAGCTCCAGGATGGGGGTCCTGGGTTGTGGCCCCCCATGTTTGAGGAGGTCTGGCAGCCCCAGTTGGACTTTAGACACTTGTGACTTTGGGTTTGTGTTTTTTTTAATAATTCAAATGTTTTATTTATACAGATACCGAATAAAACAAACTTGAGGCCTCCCTGGCTGACAGGCAGCTGGGGCAGGGAGGTGGGAGGGGACCAGGGACCTGCAGCCCAGCCCCCAATAAATGGGGATGGGGGCTCTCCCTGCCCCTGGCTGGCACAGAAATGGGTTATAAAAGCAGCTGCCTGGGCGTCAGGAGTCCTCACCAAGCTCTGGGGTATCCCTGAGGAGTGGCACCTGCCCCAGCAGTGCCACAGTGCGATGGGGCTGTGTCCCCTGCTGTCCCCAGCCCCTTCAGCTCTCGCTGGCCTCCTGGTTCTGCTCCATCTCAGCTCTGCAGGGCACAGACAGGGGCTGGACACGGCCTCGGGGCTGAGCAGGTGGGGAGGGCCCCCCCAGCCCCGGTACCTGCGGATCCTGCGCTGGCCCTCGGCGCGCACGTAGGGCGGCAGCGTGCCCAGGGGACCCTGCACGAGAGGGGCCGTGAGCCTGGGGACCCCCGAGACCCACCCCCTGCACCCCAAAACCTCACCAGCTCCTTGAAGGTGAGGCGGCAGCTGTAGCACAGCAGGGGGATGTAGGCAGCTTTGCTCTCAACCCTGTGGGACAGGGACGGGGACAGGGACACTCAGCGGTGCCACCCCGGGAGTGGCAGTGGAATCCTGGATTGTCCCCAGCCCACGTGCTCACCCTGCTGCTGGCTCCTCCAAGATCAGCGTGGGCTCCAGAGCCAGCTCCTCCTCTGTAAGAGCCAGGGGGTCACCGAGGGGTGCACGGCTGCTCCCCAAATCCCCCCCAGTGCCCTCCCCACTCACCCCCGTAGGTGTCCAGGCCGCAGAGGCAGAGGAGGCAGCGCTGCCACTCGCTGCTGGCCTTGGCAGGCTCCGGGCTCAGCTTCTCCCCAGTCCTACAGCCAAAACGGGGGTTGTGGGTGCACCCCAATCCCCCCACACCCCCAGTACCCCCCCACGGCCCCCCCGTACCGGTACACGGTGCTGATGGTGGAGGGGAACTCCTCCTGCAGCCCCACCAGGAAGCGCTCGACCAGCCGGTGGATGCTGAGCTTCTCCCGGCGCTGTGGGAACCAACAGGGCAGCTCTGGGGGCCCTGTCCCTGCCTTGGGGACACGCAGCGTGGGCTCCCCACCACGGGACACCCCTACCTTGGTGAAGAGGGGTGGCACGATGACGGTGGGGACGCTGAAGAAGCGGTTGTAGAAGGCGATCTCCTTGGCCGTGTAGTCCCGCATGGGTCTCACCACCATCACGTCACCGTGGCGCTGGTCCGTGAAGCCCTGGGGGTGCAGGGCTGCCAGGGGACTGTGCCACCACCGAGCCACGCCCCCCATGGCATCGTGTCACCCCTCAGGGGTGGGTGCCCGTCCCCAGCTCACCGTGTCCACGGCGAGGAAGGCGCCGCGCCCCAGGGAGAGGTTGGTGAGGAGCTTGATGGCCACGCGCGTCAGGCTGTCACCCATCATCACCTTGGCGTAGCCCCTGTCCCGGGCTGTCTGCACGATCAGGTGCGTCCTGGGGACGAGGTGACAGCACGTCAGAGCCACCCTGCCCGCCTGGCACGGGTGGCAGGCAGGGTCAGTCCCTCACCGCAGCATCTCCAGCAGCTCCTCCCGCGCCGTCGCCGTCGCCGCGGCCTCGAAGCTGCGGAGCAGCTCCTGGGTTTGGGCAGCGCCTGGCAGCCGGGGGGAGCCTGGGGCTCCTGCTGGGCTGCCCGGGGCGCTGTGGCCAGGCAGAGAGCTGCCACTGTCGCCATCCTGCCGCTGCTGCTGGATGAAGTTGTCCACAGCCTCCTTGTAGGAAGGGCCAGACGGGCTGGACGTGCCGGCGCGCTCCGGCCCCGGCTGCAGGATGGACGGGGGCAGCTCCAGAGCCTGCAGGGCAGAGAGGGACACGGGAAGTGTCCAGATGTGTCCCCTCACCTCAGCACCTGCCCCATGTCACCCCAATACCTCCTCCAGGTGGAGCAGGTGGTAGGGGAAGCCGGTGGCCTGCAGCAGGGTCTCCATCTGGGCCAGGGTCTGCTGGCGCTGCTCCGGGCTCTGCCCGCGCACCGCTCCCTCTGGAAGGTGGGGGCAGTGCCAGGGCCGCTGCCACATCCCCAGCCTGCTCCTGGGGCCAGGGTGGCACCTCCCCAGCCCCGGCACAGCACAGGGGACACTGTGCTGGGAGTCGGTAACGGGGCAGGGAGTGGGGCTGGGAACGCACAAGGAATGGGAATGGGGCAGGGAACAGGCAACAAGGCTGGAATGGGGACTGAGGCAGGGAGCTGGCAGTGGGACAGGGGATGGGCAGCTGGACATGGGGCAGGGAGTGGGGTCAGAATGGGCAGCTGGACAAGAGCAGGGGATGGGCAGTTGGACATGGAGCAGAGAATGGGCTGGGAATGGGCAGGGGATGGGCAGGGGATGGGCAGCTGGATATGGAGCAGGGAATGGGCAGGGGATGGGCTGAGAATGGGCAGCTGGACAGGAGCAGCGGCGGGGCTCCCTCACCCTCAACGTAGATGAGGCCGGGGATGAAGCGGAGCCTCTTGGCCGCCTCCCGGCTGAGCCCCTGCAGAGGAGTGGGGTGAGGAGTGGGGTGAGGTTTGGGGTGAGGTTTGGGGTGAGGGGATAACGAGCCGTGCACCCCCCAAGCCCCCCCTCTCACCTCCTGCACCTGCCGGACCATGGCACAGGAGGCCGGGCCCCCCGACACTGCCAGCAGCACCTGTGGGGACAGCAGGGACAGTCACCGGCCCTGGGGCCACCCCTGGGCCCCCGGCCGGGTCCCCCCCGTGGGTACCTTCTCTCCTGGGAAGATGACACGGTTCTTGCCCAGCATGGCACGGAACTTGTGCACGAAGTACTCGCGGAAGCAGTCACTGGGGACACGGGGACTCCTGAGCCACCGCCTGGCTGACACCCCCACACCCCACATCCCCATGCCCCAAAGTCCCCTTGATGTCCCCCACAATGTCCTCAGGCCCCGACATCCCAAAGATCCCCATGAGCCACGTCCCCAAACGTTACTGTCCCCCCCGTGTCCTCAACACAACGTCCCCAAGCCTTGATGTTGCTTGGCCCCCATGTCCCCAAACCTTGAACCCCAGAGATCCACTGTCCCCAGCCCCAGCATCCCAGTGCTCCAGACACAACGTCCCTGAGAACAAATGTCCCCAAGCCCTGATGTCCCCAAGACCCAAAGTTCCCAAGCCTCCATCCTCTGGAGACTCAAAGACCCCAATTTCTGATGTCCTCCACCCCAATGTCCTCAAGCCCCAATGTCCCAAATGTCTGATGTCCCCAAGTCCTTATGCCCCCAATTTCTGATGTCCCCCAGCCCCAATGTCCCAAATTTATGATGTCCCCAAGCCCCACTGTCCCCCAATTTTTGATATCCCCCAATTTCTGGTGTCCCCAAACTCCGATGTCCCCAAACTGCGATGTCCCTCACCGGCAGAAGGGGTCCCCGACGCGGATGACGAGCGCGGCCGTGCCCTGTCCGCACTTCATGCACGTCCGGGGCTGGCTGCGGGGACACGGCCGGTCACCGGCGGCACCGGGACCCGACCCCCGAGCGGGGAGCGGCGCCGAGCGGGAACGGGGGCGGCCCCGGTGCCCGGGCAGCACCAGGGATACCGCGCCGTTACCGGGGGACACCGGCAGCGGGGGATCGGGGGTGGCACGGGAGCACTGCAGGGCCACCGGGGGGTACCGGGGGTGCACTGCAGGCCGGACCGGACTCACACCTGTCTGCCGGGGCGCGGCGGCGCCGCGGAGGTTCCGCGTCCGCCCCGCAGCCGCCTCCGCCACCCTCCATGTCGCACATGGCGGCGCCACTGGGTCCCGGTGGGTCCCGGTGGGTCCCGGTGGGTCCCCGGGGTCCTGCTCGGCCTCGCTCGGCACCGCTCGGCGCCGTTCGGCCCGCACTCGGCCTCGTTCGGGTCCCGCTCGGCGCCGCTCGGCCGCGTTCGGCTCCCGCTCGGCTCCGCTTGGCTGTGTTCGGCTCCGCTCGGCCCGCCCTCGGCGCCGCTCGGCCCGCGCTCGGCTCCGCTCGGCCCGCGCTCGGTCCCGGCGCTGGAGGCGCAGTTCAGCTGCCCCATCTGCCTCGAGGTCTTCCACCGCGCCGTCGGCATCGCGGGCTGCGGCCACACGTGAGACGGGGCCCGGGCGGGGGCGGCGGGGACCCCCGGGGACCCTCGGGCTGAGCCGGGCCCGGGGACGGGCGGGACGCGGGGCTGGGCGCTGTGCCCGGTGAGCCCGGCCGGTGCCGGGGCCCACGGCCCACCCCGGGGTCCCCATCCCACCCCTCCCCTCCCTCAGCTCCCGGACCTGGCCGCTGTCCCCGGGACCCCCCGAGCCCTTCCCGTGCCCCCCCAGCATCCCGGGACCCCCTGATCCCTGTTCCAGCTGATTTTGGGGACGTTCCCCGGGGGCTGGGGCTGTGTTTGGGGCTCCAGCACCGCCTCACCCCTGCTCTTGTGGGGCTGGGGGCGATTCCCGAGCCCCCCACGATGCCCCCTGCCCATGCCCGCTCCCCTGGCAGCCTTTGGGGTGCTTCACTCCGTGTCGGTGCTGAGGAATGCCAGATAACGGGATTGTGGGGACGGGGCTGCTTTGCCTCCTTTGCTGCTGGGGAGCTGGGAATGAGCTGATCCAGGCTCCTGCCTGCCTGGACACCCAGCCCTGCCTCGGGCTGCTCCCAGTTCTCCCAGTAAGGAATCTGCTCCCTGTGAGGCCCGAGGGGTGCCTAGAGCAGAGGCTGGACAGAGCTGAAGGAATAAAATAAATAAAATGTTAAAATCCCTTCAAAGGATGCACCTTGGGCAGCACGAGAGCCCGAGGTGGACTCTGAGTCCCAGATTTTCACACTTCCATAAGATTTGGTCCATTTCCATGTGGGGGTCATTCTCCAATCACAGCTCCACTGATGCAGTCCCATCCTCCCAGTTTGCTCTCCTCCATTCCCTGTTGTTTGCACTTTTTGGGCCTTTTTGTTGTTTGCACTTTTTGGGCTGAAGCTGCAGTGATGTCCTTGGTTCTGGGCTGGAAAAGGATTGTTGTGTGTGCCTGAGCTGTGAGGAGAGCTCTGACACTTTATATGAGTTCAGAGTTATGTACCAGTGCAGTCCAGAGTCTGAAAACACAAAAACCAAAACTGCTAAAGAGCTAGAACCCATCACGTGGGCTTTGGGGGCAGCGGGGTGCCCTGCTGGCACGCTGCCGTGCCCGGGGTGCTCAGGGCCCCCCTGTGCCCCCAGGTTCTGTGGGGAATGCCTGCAGCCCTGCCTGCAGGTGCCCTCCCCGCTGTGCCCGCTCTGCCGCGTGCCCTTCGACCCCAAGAAGGTGGAGAAGGCTTCCAGCGTGGAGAAACAGCTCTCGTCCTACAAGGCTCCCTGCAGAGGCTGCAGCAAGAAGGTAAAGCTGTCCCCAGTGTCCCCAGTGTGCCCGTCCTCCTCTGGAATGTGTCCAGAGAAGGGAACCAGCTGGGGAAGGGTCTGGGGGAGGCTCAGCCTGGAGCAAGGGGAGGCTCAGCCTGGAGAAAAGGAGGCTTGGCCTGGAGAAAAAGGGAGGCTCGGCCTCCTCTGGAATGTCTCCAGAGAAGGGAACCAGCTGGGGGAGGGTCTGGGGGAGGCTCAGCCTGGAGAAAGGGGAGGCTCAGCCTGGAGAAAGGGAGGCTCAGCCTGGAGAAAAGGAGGCTTGGCCTGGAGAAAAAGGGAGGCTCGGCCTGGAGAAAGGGAAGCTCAGCCTGGAGAAAGGGAAGCTCAGCCTGGAAGAAAGGGAGGCTCAGCCTGGAAAAAGGGGAGGCTCAGCCTGCAGAAAAGGAAGCTCATTCTGGAGAAAGGGAGGCTCATTCTGGAGAAAGGGAGGCTTGGCCTGGAGAAAGGAAGCTCAGCCTGGAGAAAAGGGAGGCTCAGCCTGCAGAAAAGGGAGGCTCGGCCTGGAGAAAGGGAGGCTCATTCTGGAGAAAAGGAAGCTCAGCCTGGAGAAAAGGGAGGCTCAGCCTGGAAAAAGGGGAGGCTCAGCCTGCAGAAAAGGAAGCTCATTCTGGAGAAAGGGAGGCTCATTCTGGAGAAAAGGAGGCTCAGGGGACACCTTCTGGCTCTGCACAGAGGGGACATCCAGGGGGGTCTGGCTCTGCTCCCAGGGAACAGGGATGAAACCCCTGGGGATCCCTGCAGCCCCAAATCTCCATCCTACGAGGAAGGACGGGAGGGTGCAGCATTCCCCCTGCTGTGGTTGTGAACCAGAGGTCTCTCCCACCTCAGCTGAGCAAGAGCAGCTCCTGTGCTGGCTCCTGGCAGTGTTCCTGCTCCTCCAGGAGTGTTTGCTGTCCTCCTCCTGCAGGTGACCCTGGCCAAAATGCGCTCCCACGTCTCGTCCTGCGCCAAGGTGCAGGAGCAGATGGCCAACTGCCCCAAGTTTGTTCCTGTTGTCCCCACATCCCAGCCTATTCCCAGGTAGGCCTGTGCCTCGGGCAGGGCAGCGTGGCCCTCCGTGCATGCCCTGCAGTCCAGGTGTGTGTTGTGCCTGTCCCTGGGGGGAGAGCAGCCCCTGTTCCCTCCTGGCACTGCTGGGGTGAGGGATCCACCCAAGCTGGGAGGGGCTGGGCTGGCTCCTGCTGTCACAGAGCTGTGTGTGTTTCTTGTTTTGGTAAGGACCCCTTGTGTGAGGACACGAGGCTTGACTCTGTTTTGATCAGAAGGCTGATTTATTATGTTATATATTATATTAAAATACTACATTAAAACTATGCTAAAAGAACAGAGAGAGTAAAGATGAGAAGTCTACAAAGACAAGAATAGAATAGAATAGAATAGAATAGAATAGAATAGAATAGAATAGAATAGAATAGAATAGAATAGAATAGAATAGAATAGAATAGAATAGAATAGAATAGAATAGTCCTCAGGACAGGAAAAATCCTAGCAGAGGATTTTTCATAAGATATCATGGCTACATGTGTTAGTTTGGGAGGGGTCAGTGCAGCCTGCCCTGGGCTCTGAGCTTGTCCTTGCTCTCCTCAGCAACATTCCCAACCGCTCCACGTTCGTGTGTCCCTACTGCGGGGCACGGAACCTGGACCAGCAGGAGCTGGTGAAGCACTGCATGGAGAACCACAGGAACGACCCCAACAAGGTGGTGAGTGCTGCTGGGGGGTGTGGGACAGCCCTGGAGTCCAGCCACAGCCTGCAGCATCCCAGGCCAGCAGCACAGATGTTTGTGAAGGCACAGCTGTGTTCCAGCTGCCTGAAATCCCTTTGGGAGCGGGGGGTCTGTGTCTGCTTTGAGCTGCCTCCATCCCCCTGTTCCTGCAAACCACGTGCTGGATTGCCTCTCCCTGTCCCCTCTGGGTTGAGCAAGGTGGGGAACTTGGGATCCTGAGCAGAGGAATGGGGAACTTGGGATCCTGAGCACAGGAATGGGGAACTTGGGATCCTGAGCAGAGAAATGGGGAGCTTGGGATCCTGAGCAGAGGAATGGGGAACTTGGGATCCTCAGCACAGGAATGGGGAACTTGGAATCTTCAGCAGAGGAATGGGGAGCTTGGGATCCTGAGCACAGGAATGGGGAGCTTGGGATCTTCATCCCAGGAATGGGGAGCTTGGGATCTTCAGCACAGGAATGGGGAGCTCGGGATCTTCAGCACAGGAATGGGGAGCTTGGGATCCTGAGCACAGGAATGGGGAGCTTGGGATCCTCAGCACAGGAATGGGGAGCTTGGGATCTTCATCCCAGGAATGGGGAACTCGGGATCCTCAGCACAGGAATGGGGAGCTTGGGATCCTCAGCACAGGAAGGACCTGGAGCTGCTGGAGCAATTCCAGAGGGGATCACCAAGGGGATCAGAGGGGTCGAGTAGCTCTGCCATGAGGAGAGGCTGAGAAAATTTGGATTGTTCAGCCTGGGAAAGAGAAGCTTCAGGGAGACCTAATTGTGGCCTTCCAGGACCTTCAGGAAAGGTGGAGAGAGGATACTGACAATGGCCTGGAGGGACAGGACGAGGGGGAATGGATCCAAACTGCCAGAGACTTGGTTTGGGTTGGGTATCAGGGTGAAATCCTTCCCTGTGAGGGTGGGCAGGCCCTGGCACAGGTGCCCAGAGCAGCTGTGGCTGCCCCTGGATCCCTGGCAGTGCCCAGGGCCGGGCTGGATGGGGCTGGAGCCTGTCAGAGGAGGGGCACACACCACTCAGCTCTCTGGGAGGTCCTGTGCAGTGCCACCATCCCGTGTCCCTGTCCCCATGCCAGAGGAGGGGCACACACCACTCAGCTCTCTGGGAGGTCCCTGTGCAGTGCCACCATCCCGTGTCCCTGTCCCCACAGGTGTGCCCGGTGTGCTCGGCCATGCCCTGGGGGGACCCCAGCTACAAGAGTGCCAACTTCCTGCAGCACCTGCTCCACAGGCACAAGTTCTCCTACGACACCTTCGTGGTGAGTCTGACCCTGAGCCAAAACAGGGCCACCCCCTCCCTGTGTTCTGTGCCAGGGGGTGAAACCAGCCCTGCACAGGGCACACGTGTCCCCCTCATGAGACCCCACACCCACCAAGAGGAGAGGGGATTGTTCCTGCTCTCCACAAAATGGGTTTTTCCATGGAGCTCTTCCCCTGAGGAATTGTAACACAAAGGCCCTTTTCTTGGAGGTTTTGGCAGGGGGTGGGACCAGCCCTGCTCCAGGGTTGCTGCACATGGGGGGTCCCTGACCCCTCCTGTGTGGGGGGCACTTGTGATGGCTCAGCCTTGGCCTCAGGGGGCTGTTCCCATCCTGCTTTCATTGGAGAGATGTCAGGGAAAAGAACCTCCAGGCGTTTCCAGAGGAATCCCAGCCCAGAGCTCTGCAAAACCCCCTGGCCTTGCTAGAAAGCTTCACCCTTGTGTGGGCAGGCTCATCCCTCCTGGCAGCTGTGAGATCCAGGCAGGAGAGGGGTGTGGGCACAGAGGACACCGGGAAGAGCAGGGGTGCCACTCCTGGCACACGTGGCACAGCGTGCCCTGGCTGTGCCAGCCCTCCTGAGCTGCTGCTTTGCCTTCCAGGATTACAACATCGACGAGGAGGCAGCGCTGCAGGCAGCCCTGGCTCTGTCCCTCTCTGAGAACTGAGGCTGATCCCTCTCCCTGCCCTGGCTCCTTCTGCACACTCCAGGAACCCTCTGGAGCCCCACTGCAATTCCCACCTTGTTGAAGAAGGTGGAGCCTCTTCAGTGTCACAGTGAGTGAGCAGAGAGCTCTGGAGCAGGGCTGGGATCAGTCCTTGGGCTGGCATTAATATCCGTGTTGGGAGCATAGCCCCGTGTCCAGATCTATTTATTGTTAGATGCTTTTTGGCACGCTCCTCCCTGCTCTCTGTTGCAGCAGAATAGGTACCTGAAACTGATAGATTGACCCTCATTTGGGACTGCAATCAGCCACATCCTTTTAAAAAGGAGGAAGGCAGCACGGAGCAGCTTTTTTTAAACTCTCCAAGGATTTTTCTAGAGATGTCAGGCTGTCCTGACCCCCGTGCTGGAGGCTGGAGCTGCCTCCTTCACCTGAATCCCAGCATGAGACTGAAGAGTGGTTCAGAGGAGCCCTGGAGGATGGCATCCAGCATCCAGGGAACCTCCCCTTCCTCGTTTTGTACCTGCTCTTGGGACACCAAACCCTTGCCTTTTTCTACACGGAGCAGCACGGAGCCTTTTCCACCTTTTCTAGAGTTGCTCTAGAAGCTGCTCCCCTTCACTCTGCAATACCTGCCACCTGGGACAAGAGTATTTTTATGGAACATTATTAAGAAAGTTTATTTTTTACACAGATAACCCAAGCAAACGAAGATGTGGGTTGGGAATGGGGCGGGGGCAGGAGCTGGATCCCGCAGCGGGTCGGACTCTGGGCTGGGGGGAAGTGCAGGGATCTTTCTGGGCCTCTCCCTTCCCTCAGCAGAGTTGTGAGCAGGCAGGGTGGTGGGGTGGGATCCAGGGGCTGGTTGTCCATGCAGGATCCCAGCCCCGAGCTCCTGTTCCCCCAGAAATCAGGGAGTGCCTCTCCCTGTGGGAATCCCTCCCTGGGAAGGGGGCACTGCTCCACAGCAGCCTGGTGAGCCCTTCCCCCTGCCCCTTGCTCTCAGCCCTGCCTGCTGCTGCTGGAGTTGGCTCTGCAGGGCTGGGAGAGGCTGGGAGGGAGATGGCAGCAGCCACGGGGTGAGCCCTGAGCGAGGGGGTGACTCCCTGCAGGATCTGCAGGGTGGGAGAGGCCCCCCCTGCATCTCCCTGCTCAGAGGATTCCTGAGCTTTACCAAAACCCGGCTCCAGCTCTGCTCTAGCAATACTGCCTTGGGGTTGTTTTGGTTTCACACTAGGGGTGATTTTGGGCTCTGCAGCCCTGCGAGGAGCGTGCAGGGAGCCCTGAGCCCCCCTGGCAGGGCAGGGAGAGGGGTGGCACCTTCTCTGCCCAGCGCTGCTGCCTCCTGGGGGTGTTCCTGTGGGATGGGAGAGCACTGGCACCTTCCAGGAGGAGCCCAGGGGCATTTCCCTGTCCTGTGCTCAGCTGGGACCCTCAGCAGCTGGAGCAGCCTCCGTGCTGTTGGGCCAGCACCCTTAACCTCGGCCTCCTTCCCTCTCTCCTGCTCCTTTTTGCCCCACAGAGACAGAGCAGGGGCAGCAAGAGCTGCTTTTGTAAAGCACTTTAAGGCCCTGGGTGTGAGGGGCCACACCAGGCCGTGCCAGGGATCCCCCCCTGTGCCAGGGATCCCCCCCTGTGCCAGGGATCCCCCCTGTGCCAGGGATCCCTCCCTGTGCCAGGGATCCTCCCTGTGCCCTGGATCCATGGATCCCCCTGGCCGTGCCCACCAGTGCATCACCCGCCACTTTTTTGCATAATTAGAACTTTTAACGAGCCGTCCTGTTTTTTGAAGAGGAATTAACTCGATGACGTTATTTGTAGCAAACCATTTTTCTCAATAAAGGCAGTTTCATCCACGCGTGGCCTCTGTTGGGGGGAAGCACTGCAGGGATACTGGGAGCACTGGGATGCTGGGGCTCTGGGATACTGGGAGCACTGGGATACAGTGGCCCTGAAGGCTGTGGGAGCACTCAGGGAGCACTGGGGCCATTTGGAGCACTGGGAATATTTGGATATTTGGATATTTATTTGGATATTTGGGGTGTGGAGGTGACCAGGAGTGCGGGAGTACTGGAGCTGTACTGGGGACACTGGGTAGCACTGGGGCAGTGGGCTGCTGGGGCCTGAGCGGTACCGGGAGCAGAACCGGGCGGGTATCGGGAGCAGAACCGGGAATGGTACCGGGAGCACCGGGACGGTACCGGAGGCACCGGGAGCCTCTGCGCATGCGCAGGTCTTGCCCAATTCAAAAATGGCGCCCCGCAGGCCCAGCCCAGCCCGCTCGGGGGGCGGGGCCACCCGTGGTCCGATCGCTCCTATTGGCTCTTGGGAACCGTGTGCTGCGGTCTTGACCAATGGCGAGGAGGGACCGGCCGCAGGCCACGGTCACGTGCGTGGCGCGGGGGCGGGGCCTGAGCGCGGCCGGCAGCGATGGCGGCGGAGCGCGGGCTGGCCATGGCGACCTGCACGGCCCCCGTGAACATCGCCGTGATCAAGTACTGTGAGTGCCGGGACGCGGCCGGGCGGGCTGGGCTCCTCCGGGGCACGGGCTGGGCTGGGTGTGCCGGGCCGGGCTGTGCTGCACCGTGTCCCGGCTTGCCGTGCCGTGCCGTGCCGTGCCAAGCGCTGTTATGCCATGCTTTGCTCTGTGTCCATCAGTGCCATGCCGCTCCTATCCATGCCATGCCATTCCGAGCCGTGCCATGCCGTACTAGGCGCTGTCATGCCACGCTTTGCTGGTGCTGTCAAACTTCCATGCCGTTCTTAGCCGTGCCATGCCATTCCTAGCCCTGCTGCGCTCTTCCGTGCCATTCCAAGCCGTGCCATGCCGTGCTCTCTTGCAGGGGGCAAGCGAGACACCGACCTCATCCTGCCCATCAACTCCTCCCTGAGCGTGACCCTGCACCAGGACCAGGTGGGTCAGCACCAGGACCAGGTTTAGGATCAGGATCAGGACAGGTTTAGGACCAGGACCAGGTTTAGGATCAGGATCAGGACAGGTTTAGGACCAGGACCAGGTTTAGGATCAGCACCAGGACCAGGTTTAGGACCAGCCCCCAGGGTGCTGATCCCTCTCTCCCCACAGCTCAAGACCACCACGACGGCGGCCGCCAGCCGGGATTTCACGGAGGACCGGCTGTGGCTCAACGGGAAGGAGGTGGACGTGGGGCACCCGCGGGTCCAGGCCTGTCTGCGCGAGGGTGAGTGTCCCCTGCCGGGGGTGTCCCTGCTGTCCCTGTCCCTGTTGTCCCCTGTCCCTGCTGTCCCTGTCCCTGCTGTGCCCTGACCCTGCTGTCCACACTGTCCGTGGTGTCCCTGTCCCTGCTGTCCCCACTGTCCTTGACCCCACTGTCCCTGGTGTTCCTGACCCTGCTGTCCCTGTCTCCACTGTCCCTGACCCTGCTGTCCCTGCTGTCCCTGTCCCTGTCCCCGCTGTCCCTGTCCCCGCTGTCCCTGCTGTCCATGTCCCTGGTGTCGCTGTCCCCGCTGTCCTCACCATCCCTGTCCCCGCCGTCCCTGACCTGCTGTCCCTGTCCCGGCTGTCCCTGTCCCTGCTGTCCCCGTGTCCCTGTCCCCGTGTCCCTGGGTGTCCCTGCTGTCCCTGTCCCTGCTGTCCCTGTCCCTGCTGTCCCCTGTCCCTGATGTCCCCTGTCCCTGCTGTCCCCGCTGTCCTTGACCCCACTGTCCCTGGTGTTCCTGACCCTGCTGTCCCTGGTGTTCCTATCCCCAGTGTCCCTGTCCCTGCTGTCCCCAACCCCGCTGTCCCCAGTGTCTTGTCCACGCTCTCCCTGCTGTCCCTGACCCTGGTGTCCCTGTGTCCAGTGTCCCTGTCCCTGCTGTCCCCACCATCCCTGTCCCCGCTGTCCCTGACCCACTGTCCCTGTCCCGGCTGTCCCTGTCCCTGCTGTCCCCGTGTCCCTGACCCGCTGTCCCTGTCCCCACTGTCCCTGACCCTGCTGTCCCCTGACCCCACTGTCCCCGGTGTCCCTGTCCCCGCTGTCCCTGTCCCTGCTGTCCCCGTGTCCCTGACCCCGCTGTCCTTGTCCCCGTGTCCCTGTCCCCACTGTCCCTGTCCCTGCTGTCCCCTGACCCCACTGTCCCCGCTGTCCCTGTCCCCGTGTCCCTGTCCCCGTGTCCCTGTCCCCGTCCCCGTGTCCCTGACCCTGTGTCCCGCAGTGCGGCGCCTGGCGCGGAAGCGCCGTGGGGGCGCTGAGGACGCGGCCGCGCTCAGCCTCTCCTACAAGATCCACATCGCCTCCGAGAACAACTTCCCCACGGCCGCCGGGCTCGCCTCCTCCGCCGCCGGCTACGCCTGCCTCGGTGTGTCCCCGGTCCCCGGCTGTCCCCTGCTGGGCTGGGAGGGCTGACAGCGCTGTCCCCTTGCTGCGACCTGTCCCCTGCCTGCGGCGGTGTGGCCTGGAGGGCGCTGGGAGGGGTGACAGGGCTGTCCCCTCTGACTGTGCTCTGGCTGGCTTGGCTCTGTGGTGGGAGCAGGAGAGGTGACAGGGCTGTCCCCCCTGCCTGTCCCCTCTGTGCTCTGGCTGTCCTAGCTCTGTGGTGGCAGCAGGAGGGGTGACAGGGCTGTCCCCCCGCCTGTCCCCTCAGTGTCAGCACTGGCCCAGCTCTGGCAGCAGCAGGAGGGGTGACAGGGCTGTCCCCCCCGCCTGTCCCTGTGCTGTCAGTGCTGGCCCAGCTCTGTGGTGGCAGCAGGAGGGGTGACAGGGCTGTCCCCTCTGACTGTGCTCTGGCTGGCTTGGCTCTGTGGTGGGAGCAGGAGAGGTGACAGGGCTGTCCCCCCTGCCTGTCCCCTCTGTGCTCTGGCTGTCCTAGCTCTGTGGTGGCAGCAGGAGGGGTGACAGGGCTGTCCCCCCGCCTGTCCCCGCAGTGTCGGCGCTGGCCCGGCTCTACGGGCTGCAGGAGGAGCTGTCCGAGGTGGCGCGGCGGGGCTCGGGCAGCGCCTGCCGCAGCATGTTCGGGGGCTTCGTGCAGTGGCAGCGCGGGGAGCGCCCCGATGGCACCGACAGCCTGGCCCTCCAGGTGGCCCCCGAGACGCACTGGCCGGAGCTCCGCGTCCTCGTCCTGGTGGTGAGGGGCTGGCAGGGGGGTTTGGGTGGGATGTGGGGCGTGGGGGGCTCAGGAGGGGCCGTGTCCCAGTGGCTGTGTCCCCCCAGGTCAGTGGGGAGAAGAAGCCGGTGGGCAGCACGGCGGGCATGCAGACCAGTGTGGAGACCAGTCCCCTGCTGAAGGTAGGGGGACAAGGGACTCGTCCTGCCCAGGCAGGGACAGGGTCCCCTTTCCCTTGGAATGGGGCTGGAGGGTGTGCAGTGACACCCACAGCGTCGTGGTGCTGTGGGTGTCACCAGATTTGGGGGACAGTGACCTTCCTCCTGTGGGTATCCCTAAATTCAGGGTGACAACCCACCCGTTGTGGATGTCACCAAACTGGGGTAACCGTGACCCTCCTGCCATGGGTGTCACTAAACCACAGTGGCCACACACCCTGCCTGCTGTGGTTGTCACCGATTTGGGGTGACCCTGACCCCCCTGCCATGGGTGTCACTGGGCTGATGGTGCCCCCCGTGCCGTGGCAGCACCGGGCAGAGGTGGTGGTCCCCGAGCGCCTGGCCCAGATGATGCAGCACATCCGTGACCGTGACTTTGAGGGCTTTGGCCAGCTGGCCATGAGGGACAGCAACCAGTTCCACGCCACCTGCCTCGACACCTTCCCGCCCATCTTCTACCTGACGGACGTGTCGCGCCACATCATCGCGCTGGCGCACCGCTACAACGCCCACCACGGCCACACCAAGGTACCCGCGGGGCCCCGGGGGCTGCCACGCCGCCGTGGCCCTTGCCCGGGTCCCCACGTCCCCACTGTGCCCCCACAGGTCGCCTACACCTTCGACGCCGGCCCCAACGCCGTCATCTTCGCGCTGGCCGACACCGTGGCCGAGTTCGTGGAGGTGGTGAGGCGCAGCTTCCCCCCCGCCACCAACGGGGACCAGTAAGGGAGCCCCGCTGCTTCCCGGGGGGCTGGGGGGGCTGGGGACGCTGGGGACAGGGGCACTGAGCGCTGGCCGTGCCGCAGGTTTGTGCGGGGGCTGCCCGTGGGCCCGGCCGCGCTGCCGCGGGAGCTGGAGGGCGCCGTGCTGGCCGAGCCCGTGCCCGGGGCTGTGCACTACATCCTGCACACCAAGGTGAGCCGGGTCACCGGGGGGGACACGGCCTCTCGGGGGGGTCTGACCCCATCCCTGGCCCCCAGGGGTGTCCAGGAGCCCGTAACTGTGCCCAGTTCCCAGGGGTGTGTGTGGTGCCTGTCCCCATCCCCAGGGATGTCCATGGGACCCCATCCCACTCCCCATCCCCAGGTGGGTGTGCAGGGCCCTGTCCCCATCCTCAGGGCTTTGTGTGGGACCCCATCCCTGTCCCAATTCCCGGGGAGGTGTGTAGGGCCCTGTTTCCATCCCCAGGGGTGTCCAGGAGCCTGTAACCGTCCCTGTCCCCAGGGTGGTGTGTGGGACCCCCATACCTGTCCCAATTCTCAGGGGAGTGTGTAGGGCCTTGTCCCCATCCCTAGGGCTTTGTGGGACCCCATCCCTGTCCCCTTCCCCAGGGTGTTGTCCAGGACCCCATCCCTGTCCCCAGCCCTGGAGGGGTGTGTAGGACCCTGTCCCCATCCCCAGGGCTTTGTGTGGGACCCCATCCCTGTCCCCAGTCCCAGGAGTGTCCAGGACCCCATCCCTGTCCCAGTTCCTGGGGGTATGTGTAGGGCCCTGTCCCCATCCCCAGGGCTTTGTGTGGGACCCCATCCTTGTCCCCAGCCCTGGAGGGGTGTGTAGGGCCCTGTCCCCATCCCCAGGGTGGTGTGTGGGACCCCATCCTTGTCCCCAGTCCCAGGAGGGTGTGTAGGGCCCTGTCCCCATCCCCAGTGGGGTGTCCAGATCCCCATTTCTGGACACATTCCCACTGGGGTGACCTTTTGGGGTCCGTGGGGCTCCCCGGTGTCCCTGAGCCGTGTCCTGCCCCACAGGCTGGCCCCGGTCCCCAGCTCGTGGATGACCCCAGCCAGCACCTCCTGGGCCCGGATGGGCTGCCCCGGAGCCGGGCCTGACCCCGGGGACACTCGGGGACACACCAGGGGACGCTGCTGGTGCCACAGCGGGGCTCAGCACCCTGAGCCAGGCCTGCTGCAAAGCTGTCCCCAGCCCTGGCGCAGGCTGTCACCCCGGGGCTGCTTTTTAATCTTTTGTAAGGAAATAGAGTTCCTGGTTCCAGTGCTGTTTGGGGTGTGGGCTCTGTGTGTGGGGCTGGGGGGGACAGGAGATGGGGACAGTCCCTGGGCTGGTCCTGTTCCTCCACACGGCCCTGTCACCCCACATGACCCCTGTGTCCCTTGTGGGACATCTCCTGTCCCGTGTGCCCCCACACTGTCACTGATCCTGTCCTTCCACACTGCCCCTGTCCCTGGCAGGGCTGGTCCTGTCCCCATCCCTGCGCTGTCCCCGCTGCTGGCACGGGTCCTGTCCCCATCCCTGCGATGTCCCCGCTGCTGGCACGGGTCCTGTGCCGCGCACGGCCCCCGTTGTCCCGGGGCTGGCCCTGTCGCTCCATGCCATCCCTGTCACCGCCGTGTCCCGTGGCCCCGGGTCGGTGCCGTGTCCCCAAGGAGGCGTGGCTAATGCATTTGGGCGTGGCGTATTAGAGGGGGTGTGGTCACTGCGAAGGAGGCGTGGCCTGTGCTGGTAACGCCCCACCCGCCTTCCGGGTCGGGACGGGCGGAGCGGAGCCGAACCGGGACGGGCCGGGCCCACCGGGAGCAGCCGGAAAAAGCGAAGCAGAACGGGCCGAACCGGGCCGAGCCGAACCCGACCGGGCTGAGCCGAACCGGACCGGGCCGGGAGCAGCCGAGGGCGCTCGGGCCGAGCCGAGCGGAGGCGGGAGCAGCCGAGGCGCTCGGTCGGGCCGAGCGGGCCATGGGGCAGATCGAGTGGGCCATGTGGGCGAACGAGCAGGCGCTGGCCGCCGGGCTCAGTGAGTGCGGGGCACGGGGCTTTGGGGCACCCGGGCACTCCGGAAAACCCCCGGGCTCTGAGGGGAGTGAGCGCCCCGCGGGCTGGGCGTGCCGAGCCCCGCCGGAGGGGATTGGGGTCCCGGTCCCGCCGGGCTGAGGGAAGTCCCGGCCCAGCGGGGCTGGAGCCTCCGCTTCCTCCTTCTCTCTTCCTCCTCTGCCCTCTCTCCCTCGGTTCCCTCCTCTCCTCTTCCTCTTGCTCCGGCCGCGAGGTCAAAAAGCTCCCGCGGGGCCCTGGAGTTCCCAAACCCGGGGGTGCCGGGGCCGGGACCCCGAGCCCCGCCCTGGGCCCTGAGCCGGGTCCCCAGGGCCACAACCCGCGTTCGGGGTTGGGGCGCATGGCCTGAGCTCCGGGCTGTGTCTGGGGTTTGGGAGCTGCACCCCAGGCTGGGGGGTTGTGTCCCGGGTTTGGGGAACTGTATCCCGGGTTTGGAGGGTTGTGTCCTGGGTTTGGGGGTTTGTGTCCAGGTTTGGGGATTGTATCCCGGTTTGGGGGCTATATCCAGGTTTTGGGGGGTTGTATCCCGTTTTGGGGATTTGTATCCCGGTTTGGGGGTGTGTCTTGGTTTGGGTGTTGTATCCCGGGCTGGGGCTGTATCCCGGTTTGGGTGTTGTATCCCGGGCTGGGGCTGTATCCCGGTTTGTGGGGCTGTATCCCGGTTTGTGGGGCTGTATCCCGGTTTGGGTGTTATATCCCGGGCTGGGGGTGTATCCCGGGCTGGGGTTGTATCCCTGTTTGGATGTTATATCCCGGGCTGGGGGTGTATCCCGGTTTGGGGTGTTGTATCCCGGTTTGTGGGGCTGTATCCCGGGCTGGGGGTGTATCCCGGGCTGGGGCTGTATCCCGGTTTGGGTGTTGTATCCCGGGCTGGGGCCGGTGGCCCGGCCCGGTGTGACGCTCCATGCCGCCTGTTCCCGCAGTCCTGCTGACGGGCGGCATCGTGGCCGTGGCGGGGCAGTTCAAGGGCTGGTACTTCGCCGCGTACTCCATGTATCCTTCCCGACAGCATTCCCGGGGCTGGGCTGCGGCAAAACACAAAACACAGCCCGACGGGGCTGGGAGGCATGGCCGGGGAGGGGTCGCATCCTCACCCCCCGCCCTGCTGCAGCTGTGCGTGCCCTGCCCCGCACAGCCCGCTTTTGGGGCGCGGGTCGCTCCTTGGGGCCGTTCCCGGTCCCATCCCGCCTTTCCTTGACGCCCCGGCAGCGCGGCAGGAGTCCTGGTGTGCCTGCTCGAGTATCCCAGGAGCAAACGCAAAAAGGGCTCCACCATGGAGAGGTGGTGAGTGCTGTGCCCCCCCTAGGGTCCTGTGTCACCCCTGGGGGTCCTGTGCCCCCAAACACAGGGATGTGGGAGCACGGGTGGGTTCCTCGGGGTGATCCTTGCAGAGATGGGGCTCCCTGGAGGCTGGCTGTCCCCTGAGGGTGGGGACAGCCCCAGTGAGCCCCTGCTGTCCCCCTGCAGTGGCCAGAAGTACCTGACAGCCGTGGTGAAGCTCCTGGGGCCCCTCACCAGGAATTATTACATCCGAGCTGTGCTCCATGCTGCGTGAGTGGGGTGCAGGGTCAGGGCTGGGGCCCCCGAGTGGGGTGCAGGGTCAGGACTGGGGCTGGGGCCCCCTGGCTCCCTCTGAACACCGAATCTCTGTCACAGCCTGGCTGTCCCTGCTGGATTCCTCCTCTCCACCATCCTGGGCACTGTCTGCCTGGGCATTGCCAGTGGCATCTACCTGCTGGTGAGTGCAGAGGGGACTTTGTGGGGCTGGGAGGGTGAAGCCACCCCTAAACCCACGTGCCAGTGCTCCCATGTGAATTCCAGCAGCATTCCCAGCCTGTCCTGATCAGGGTGTGCAGGGGTCACATCCTCCTCCCCGCACCCCGGTCCCCCTGTGCTTTCCCTGCCCCCAGCAGCCCCTTTTTGGGGTGGGGGTTGTTCCTTGGCACTGTCCCGATCCCACAGGCTGCAGTTCGAGGGGAGGAGTGGAGACCCATCGAGCAGAAGCCCCGGGAGAGGCCACAAGTGGGGGGCACCATCAAGCAGCCCCCCAGCAACCCGCCGCCCCGGCCCCCTCCCGACGCCCGCAGGAAGCAGCCGGAGCTGGGGGGGCAGGTGAACCCCATCCCCGTGGAGGTGGAATAATGGGGGGTCCTCCTGCCCTGCCCTGCTCCTGCTCCTGCTTCCCAGCTGCTCCTGGCTCTGCTGCAGCCGTCGGGCTCCTGGGGCTCCCCAGAACCCCGGGGGTGCTGAGCTGCTTGCTGTGGGTCCCCAGCTCCTGGTGATGCTCAGATCCTTGGGATCATCAGCTCCCCTGGGCTTCCCAAGGGATTCCCAAATCCCCAGTGATGCTCTGGGGTCCCCAGCTCTCCTGGGGATCCCCAAATCCCCAGCTCCTTGTAGGATATCCCTGTAGGATCTCCATCTCATGGGGTTCCCCAAATCCCCTAAGATGCTCGGCTCCCAAATTCCCAGTGATGTGATGCTCCCTGTGGGGTTTCCAGCCCTCAGGGACTTCCCAACTTCTGGACAGTCCCAAATCCCTGGACCTGCTCAACTTCCTATGGGGTCTCCAGCTCCCAGGAGCTCCCCAGCTCCTGGACCTCCCCAAATCCCCAATAATGTTCAGCTTCTTGTGGGGTCTGCAGCCCCCAAGGCCTTCCCAAGGATTCCCCAAATCCTTGGGGATTCTCAGCTCCCTGTGAGTCTCCTGCTTCCAGGGGCTCCTCAGCTCCTGGGAAATCCCAAATTCCTGGGCATGCTCAGCTCCCTGAGGGTCCCAGCTCTCCAAGCACCCCCCAGTTCCCTGGGGGATCCCCAAATCCCTGTGGAACTCCATCTCTCAGGGAATCCCCAGCTCCGGGGGGGATCAGGCAGCTCTGCTCCCGCTCTCCCTGGTCTTTGTCATTTCTGCAGTTGCTGTTGCAATAAAAAGTGGGAAAGGCACCGGCTGCCCCTGCCTCCTGCTCCAGGGGGACTCCTCCCAGTCCTGCCCTGCTCCTGGGGGCTGCGACAGGACTGGGGAGGTGTTTTGGGGACAATCGGTGCAGTTACGGGCAAATCCAGGATGCAGATGTGCAGAGTATGGCCACGGCAGGGTCCCCTCCCAAAATCCTTGTGGGGTGGAACTGGGAGGGCCCCAAAGGAGCCCCCAAAACCTGGGATAACCCCCAGCAGGGAAATGTGGGGAGCATTTCCCTTCCCTCTGCTGCAAATTCCCCGGTGTGCTGTGGGTGCCAAATCCTCGATCCCACTGGGATCAGCAGCTGCTCCAGGCCCCCTCTGCCCCCTCCCCACACAGACCCTGCCCCCCGAGGGGCTGCAGGTGGCCCAGGGTCCCCCGAGGAGCTGCCAGCACAGGTGGAATGGCCCTGGCAGGTGGCACCAGCTCCGTGGGATGTGGTGCCCGGGGGCAGAGCCGTGGGAAAGGTGTGGGTGTCGGGGTGCCAGGGCTGGGTCCCCCCGGGGCTGGGGGTGTGGGGCACCCCCGTGCCCTGCCGCCCTCCCCAGCACCTCCCAGTTCAGCGTGCCCTGCTGCACTGGTGCTCTGCCCACCCTGCAGGGACTCAGGGGTGTCCCACAGCTGGCACTGCCCGTGGATGTCCCTCTGTCCCTGTGCCCCAATTCCCCACATCCCAGTGCCCTGGCTGGGAACAGAGCGAGGGCTGTGCCAGGAGTTGTTGGCTTTTATTTGCAGCATTAAATAGCACTAGGAAGGAGACAATAAATACCTTTTGGGGGGAATAAATGAATAAATAACCAGTGAGTGCAGCACTCACAGGGTCTGGCCGTGGGGCCACGCTGGCCCTGCAGTCACAGCCGTGGCTGGGGGGTGGTCAGCAATAAATAGAGGGTCCAAAAAGCCCCCCGCCAGCAAGGCTTATAAATAACTCATAAATAACCCGGCAGGGGCCGCCCTGGCGGGGTCGGGTGCTCTAAAACAAGCACGGGCGGGGTGGCACGGTGCCCGGGGCGGGCTCAGCGCGCCGTGCGGGGCAGGACGCAGGTGCAGCCCACGGGCACTCGGATGGAATCCACCTCCAGCGCCACCAGCCCCGGCCCCGCGGGCCGCGGGCACGGCTTGCGCCGCAGCACCAGCATGCTCTGCTGGATGGTCACCGAGTTGAGCGACGTGGTCTCCCGGCCGGTTTTCACGTCCACGCAGCCGCTGCACAGGCACTCGGCGAAGGCCAGCTTGCGCGGGTAGCGGTTCTCGTCCTCGTCGATGCTGCGGGGACACGGCCACACCTTCCCTCGTGCCGGCGGCTCTCAGCGGCCGGGCTGGCCCGGGGGAGGTGGGGAGGGGGTGCGGGGGCACTCACCGGTATCGCCACGGCGAGATGGAGCGCTCGTGGGGCTCGCTGCGGAGCGCGGCGCGCAGCGGCAGCGCGGGGCAGGCGGGCGGGGGCTGGAGGCACCAGCTGCACCGGGACGTGCCGGGCCCAGCGCAGGCGGCGGCCCAGCAGCTGCGCCGGGCCCTCGTCACCCAGCTCGGCCCCGCTGTAGCAGCGCACGGCGGAGTGCCCGGGGCGCCGCAGCCCCCGGCACTGCGCCAGGGCTGCCAGCAGGGCCAGCGCGGCCAGCCAGCCCTGTGGGGACAGCAGGGTGTCAGGGACAGGCACACACACCTGGGCATTCAGGGACAGTGTCAGGGAATCAGGGACACAGGGCCAGGGCAGCCAGACAGCCCTGGGGGGACAGCAGGGTGACAGGGACACCGAGGGGACAGCCACACACAGCACCGTGACAGTGACACCAAAGGGACAGGCACACACGGGACAGTGACACCCCAGCGCGGCCAGCCAGCCCTGTGGGGACAGCAGGGTGTCAGGGACACCGAGGGGACAGCCACACACAGGACCGTGACACCAAAGGGACACGCACAGCACAGTGACAGTGACACCTGAGGGGACAGGCACACACAGGACAGTGACAGTGACACCCAAAGGGACAGGCAACAGGCACACACAGGACAGTGACACCAAAGAGACACGCACAGCACAGTGACAGTGACACCGAGGGGACAGGCACACACAGCCAGAGCATCACTGACACTGTGGGGACAGTCACACAGCACAGTGACAGTGACAGCCACACACAGGACAGTGACAGTGGCACTGAGGGGACAGGCACACAGCACAGTGACACCAAAGGGACAGTCGCACACAGTGACAGTGACACTGAGGGGACAGGCACACACAGTGACAGTGACACTGAGGGGACAGGCACACACAGGACAGTGACAGTGGCACTGAGGGGACAGGCACACACAGGACAGGGACAGTGACACCAAAGGGACAGGCGCACACAGTGACAGTGACGCCAAAGGGACAGTCGCACACAGTGACAGTGACACCGGCTGTGTGTCTGTGCATCCATCTGTTATTATCGATTGCCTGTCCATCACCCAGCGATTAGCTGTTATTAGCTCTCTATGAGCTCTCCACCACCCATCTCTGCATTTCTCTCCGTCTCTGTGTGTGTATGAGCTCCGTATCTCTAGGTGTCTCTCTATCTCTAGATATATATCTATATATCTGTGTAAATATATCTCTGTTTTTATCTGTACGCAGAGATCTCTGGAGCACCTCTGCATCTGTCTCTGCGTGTCTCTGCATACATATTGATATATCTGTCTGTCTATATCAGTATATCTATATGCTTATATCTATCTACATATCAATAGCTATTTCTATCTAGAATTGTCTGTATCTAGATCTACCTGTATTTATATCTCTCTATATCTGTATAGCAATATAATTAGCTATGTATATATTTCTGTCTATATCTATTTTTATCTATTTATATCTATCTATATCTCTACCATCTATCTGTATATATATCTATCTCTAGATCTATACCTATCTCTGTATCAATTTCTATCTGTATATAGATCTATCTATATTTATCTCTCTATATCTGTATATCAATATATCAATATAACTAGCTATGTATATATTTCTATCTATATCTATCTATATCTATTTATATCTATCTCTATCCATCATCTATCTCTCTCTATATATATCTATTTATATCTATACCTATCTCTCCATCCATCAATTTATATTTTTATATCTATACCTATGTCTCTATCAATTTCTATCTGTATCTACGTCTATCTATCTATATCTCTCTATATATCAATATAACTAGCTATGTATATATTTCTATCTATATCTTTCGATATCTATTTATATCTATATCTATCTATCTATAATCTATTTTTATCTGTGTCTATCTGTATATATATATATTTATATTTTTATATCTATACCTATGTCTCTATCAATTTCTATCTGTATCTACATCTATATATATTTATCTCTCTCTATATCAATATATCAATATAACTAGCTATGTATATATTTCTATCTATATCTTTCGATATCTATTTATATCTATATCTATCTATCTATAATCTATTTTTATCTGTGTCTATCTGTATATATATATATATTTGTATTTTTATATCTATATAAATATAAATATTTTTATATCTATATAAATATACCAATGTCTGTATCAATTTCTATCTGTATATAGATCTATCTATATTTATCTCTCTATATCTGTATATCAATATAACTAGCTATGAATATATCTCTATCTCTGTATATCTATTTATATCTGTCATCTATCTGTATCTATGTATCTATAATGTAGCTATTTTTATCTGTGTCTATCTGTAGATATATCTCTATATCTATTTAAATCTATACCAATGTCTCTATCTATATTTATCTCTCTATATCAATATATCAATATAACTAGCTATGAATATATTTCTATGTATATCTATTTATATCTATCATCTATCTGTATCTATGTATCTATAATCTAGCTATTTTTATCTGTGTCTATCTGTATATATCTCTATTTAAATCTATACCAATGTCTCTATCTATATTTATCCATATTTGTACCATTTCTGTCTATATTTATCTATATTTATCTGTGTCCCATCCCTAAAACATTCGCACACCCACATGCAGACGTGCTTGCACACTCAATGTTCACACTCACGCTGTGCATGCACTGCAACACTGCACGTGTAAACACACACAACATTCTATATATAGTATATAAATAGATTAAAATAAATAGAAATACAAATAGAAAACTATAAATACACACACACACAATTATATATATATAATATAAATAGATTAAAATAAATAGAAATACAAATAGAAAACTATAAATACACACACACACAATTATATATATATAATGTATATTATATATTCTATATTGGATATATACATATATATTACAATATTATATATTATATTGTGTGTATATATATGATGTATATGTACATATAATTAATATAAAGCACAGTTTACATATATACATTATATATGTGTGGGTATATTTTAATCTTTTTAAATATATTTTATCTGTATATAATACACAGTATACATATATACCTATACATTATATATATGTGTATAATTTTATTTATTTATATTTTAAAAATTTATATATTTTATATGTACATATAAAATGTATTCAGTATACATATATCCATATAAATATACATTATATATATTTATATATACATGTGTATATGTTTATATATGGGTTTATATTTATTGATGTATTTTATATTTATATACATGTATATATGTTTGTATACAGTTTTATGTTTATTTATATATTCTATATTTACGTAAAATATATGTATATTATATACATGTATATGTGTTTATGTACAGTTTTATATTTATTTATATATTTTATATTTATGTAAAATAGATGTATATTACATACATGTATATGTGTTTATGTACAGTTTTATGTTTATTTACATTTTTCTCTTTATGTAAAATATATGTATATTACATACATGTATATGTGTTTATGTACAGTTTTATGTTTATTTATATATTTTATATTTATGTAAAACAGATGTATATTATATACATGTATATGTGTTTATGTACAGTTTTATATTTATTTACATGTTTCTATTTATGTAAAATATACATATATTATATACATGTATATGTGTTTATGTACAGTTTTATATTTATTTACATGTTTCTATTTATGTAAAATATACATATATTATATACATGTATATGTGTTTATGTACAGTTTTATGTTTATTTATATATTTTATATTTATGTAAAATATACATATATTACATACATGTATATGTGTTTATGTACAGTTTAACGTTCATTTACATTTTTCTCTTTCTCTAAACCAGATGCAGATATTTCTCTACGTGCACCCGGCAGTGTGCACACCCTGGCCCTGCAGGAGTAGGAAACACCTGAGCACACCTGCAGCTGATCCTGGGCACGGACACCCACACAGCCACAGCAAGCACCTGTGTGTGAGTGAAATACTGAGTGAGGGACAAACAACCCGGCAATAAACAAATCATGGAAAGGAATAACGAGAATAGAAATACCTATCATATAGATAAATAATAAATAATAAAGGTAAATAGAGGAAATAAATTAGAATCAATAAATATAAACATACAAATTTATATACTGAAATATTTAAAAAATTTAAGTATATAAAATAACCATTACTCTAAATAAGTAAATAAATATATAAAGGAATAGATAATATAAAGAAAAGGATAAAGCAAAGAAATGGAGAGTAGAAATCCACATAGAAAACGAAAATAAAATAGAAAATTAAAATAACAAACTAAAATAACATAGAATGGAATATAGGTAACATAAATTTGAATATAACTGAATATGAAATATCGTCCCTGCAGTAATAAATAAAAATCTGGGTGTTGGCAGTGCACACAGGGACAGGGGCAGGGACAGGGACAGGGACAGCATCCAGCCCTGTGCCCAGGGCTGCCAAAAACACCCCTGGAATCTCTGGGAGTGCAGGGCTGCACAGGAAAAAATACACCCACAGCGCAGACACGGATATAAACACGTATAAATATATCAATAAATATTTATAGATATAAAAATATAAATATATAAATACATATAAACACAGACAGGCCAGCAGTGCACACACACACACAGCTCTGACAAGGAAATGAATATATAAAAATACATATAAATACATATAAATACATATATACACATATTAATGTGTATATGTATATATTAAAATCCATATAAATAACATAGAATGGAATATAGGTAACATAAATTTGAATATAACTGAATATGAAATATCGTCCCTGCAGTAATAAATAAAAATCTGGGTGTTGGCAGTGCACACAGGGACAGGGGCAGGGACAGGGACAGGGACAGCATCCAGCCCTGTGCCCAGGGCTGCCAAAAACACCCCTGGAATCTCTGGGAGTGCAGGGCTGCACAGGAAAAAATACACCCACAGCACAGACACGGATATAAACACGTATAAATATATCAATAAATATTTATAGATATAAAAATATAAATATAAATATATGTAAATATATAAAATTTTTTAAAAATCTATAAATACCTATAAACACAGACAGACACAGCACAGGCCAGCAGTGCACACACACACACACAGCTCTGACAAGGAAATGAATATATAAAAATACATATAAATACATATAAATACATATATACACATATTAATGTGTATATGTATATATTAAAATCTATAAAAATAGAAATAATTACAGATACACACACAGAGCCCTGTAGAGGGTGTGTAAGACACCCACACGTAAAAAAGACACACACACAGAGCTGTGCACATGACATGCAGCACATATAATAAACATACAGACATAATTACACACACTGACAGAGCTGTGCATGTCGTGTGTAACACACACGTAAAATACACACAGGGTGTGTAACACACACAAAATACACAGAGCTCTGTATTTGATGTGTAACACACATGAAATCACACATGGTGTGTAACACATGAAATCACACATGGTGTGTAACACACAGAACTGGGCATGACATAACTCACGCCTCTGATAAAAACTCACACACAGCTGTGCAGGTTGACATGTAACACACAGAATAAACACACACACATAATTAACACACACACACAGAGCCCTGCACATGGTGTGTAACACGCACAGATATAAACACACACATGATAAAAACACACACATAAAACACATATAAAATACATAGAGAGGGCCCCACACATGGTGTGTAACTCACACACATAAAACACACAGAGAGAACTCGGCATGACAGGTAACACACACACACAGGTAATAAAATGAAAATACACACCCAGAGCTGTGCATGTATATAACACACACATGAAACATGCACACAGAGTGTGTTACTCTGCACATGTGTACATGTACATGTGTGTGTGTGTTACCCTGTACATGACAGGTAGCACACACACAGAGCTGTGCACATGTAACACACACAAGGAACACTCAGAAAACCCAACACGTGACAGGTAGCACATGTAATGAGCACACACGTAATAAACACACAGAGCCCTGCACATGGTGTGTAGCACACACATATGTAAAAAAAACCACACAGAGCTGTGCACGTGACATATAACACACATAATAAACACACGGATGTAATTAAAACACACACAGAGCCCTGCACATACATAACACAGACATAAAATACACAGAACCCTGAACACGACAGGTAACACACACACAGAGCTGTGCACACACATGAAACCCACAGAGAACCCCACACATGACACGTAACACATATAATGAACACACACAACAAACACACACACAGAGCCGTGCACATGGTGTGTAACACACACACTAAACCTCACACATGACATGTAACATATATGATGATCACACACACACACAGAGCTGTGCACATGGTGTGTAACACACACTAAACCTCACACATGACATGTAACACATATAATGATCACACACACACAGAGCTGTGCACATGGTGTGTAACACACACTAAGCCCCACACATGACACGTAACACATACAATGATCACACAGAGCCGTGCCCATGGTGTGTAACACACACCTACAAGGTGTGTGACACACACCAGACCCCCACACGCCATGTAACATATATGACGATCATACACACACACACAGAGCTGTGCACATGGTGTGTGACACACACCAGACCCCACACATGACACATATAACGATCACACACACACAGAGCTGTACAAGGTGTGTGACACACACCAGACCCCCACACGCCATGTAACACATATGACGATCATACACACACACACACAGAGCCGTGCCCATGGTGTGTGACACACACCAGACCCCACACATGACACATATAACGATCACACACACACAGAGCTGTACAAGGTGTGTGACACACACTGAACCCCCCACACGCCATGCCCCCACTGTCCCTGCCCCCCAGCCCCACGTTACCATCAGCGGGTGCGGAGGGGCCGCGCAGGCTTTGGGGGCGGGGAGGGGCAGGGAGCGCTCCCGAACTGAGGGACGGGGCCACGCCACGGCTCGGGGGCCGGGGCGAGCGCAGCCCGGGGTGAGGCGGCCGAGTGCAGCGGCAGCGCCGCCGCCGCCGCCTTTTATAGGGCCGGGCAGGTGATGTGCACACACCTGGAAACTCCAGGCGCGCTCCTTCCTCCTGCCGCTCCCGGCCGCACTTCCTCCTGCGCTCCACGTGTGCCCGTGGCAGCACGGGCACTCCGAGCCCGCAGCTCGGGCAGGGGCGTCCCGGCGAGCGGGCACCCCCCGGCCGTGCCCCTCTTGCGTCACCGTGAGATCAGCGTGGCATTCCCGGGCAGAAATCCCAAATTGGGCAACGCTGGGAAGGGCTCGAGCGCTGCCATCGCCCCTCCGGGATGGCCCCGTGGCCAGCAGCACCAGCGGGACGCTGGGTCCTGCTTATTGCTGGAGCAAGGCTGGAGGACGGGGAATGCCAGGGACCCCAAAAACTGCTCTCTGAATGAGAGACCCCAGGTGATGGCCCCCACTGGCATCTCACACCGGTAGGATGCTGGTTCCATACTGGGAGCAAGGAGCCTGGGAAATCCACTGGGCCCCCAAATGCTGCTCCTTAAATTAGGGGGATTTATCAGATTTATCTGCAGAACGCCCCAGTTACACACAGAAATATTCTGGTTTCACACTGGCTGCTCCCCCAGGACACAGAGCAGCTTTTCCAGCTCCACGGAGCTGCTCGTGCCCCAAAAACCCCCAAAGTGAGGGGTACAGAACCCCCCCAAGACAAGGGAGATGCAGAAAAAAGCAAGAAAAGGTAAAATTGGTTATCAAAATATTTTATTTCAGGGAGATCCCTCCAAAAAAAAAAAAACGGGAGAAACCCCCAAAAAAAAAAAAAAAAAAAAAAAAAAAAAAAAAAAAAAAAAAAAAAAAAGGAAAAACCAAAGGAAGAAGGACCCTCCTGGCAGACAGACACGCCCACAACACCTGCAGGGCTCCTGGGAATCCAAGGGAACCGATCCCCTGCTCCAAAGAAGGGGGACTGAGGCAGGAATATATATATATCTATTTTTCCTGGGGGAGGAGGGGTGCTGCCAGCAGTTCACAGCAGTTTTCGGCTCTCTCGGCACACGGGACTAGAACTGCATTGCTGAAGACACTCAACACACAGCAGGGCTAACTAGGAGAGTACAACTCGAGGCTAGCAAAGAGGAGAGGGGACACAGGAGAGCCGGGAGCAGCCGGGGCTGGAGTCCTCTGTGCACAACCCCGCAGCCCTCCCGGAGCCGCTCGCGGGCTTTTCCCGGCCGGACAAAAACTTCCTTAATTTTTCTGTTTTGTGTGTGTGTGTGTGGATGGGTGGCTTTGTGTTTTTTTTGTTAAAAAGAACCGCGGCCAAAATGAAGAGGAGGAACTGCCAAAGGCCCAAGCGGCGCCGTTCCCGCTCTATAAAAACACCAGCAGTCACTGCGGGCCTGGCCCCACTATACTTTTCCCGGGATCTTGGCGCGCTTGCGGGCGATGGCGTCTTCCACGGCCTTGAGCTGCTTCAGGAGCTCCTCGCGCCGCGACAGCGTGCTGGACTTGCTGCCCTTGGCAGCAGCAGGGCCCGCCTCCGAGCCCTTGCCCGGCACGCTGGTGACTTTGCTGGAGCCCTTGGACTGCGGGGACAGCGGGCGCTTCCTGCGGGACAGAGGAGGCAGCAGTGAGGGGAGGCCAAGAGCAGCGAGCTCTGCTGGCCACACTAAACTGGTTTCAAGTGCTTTCCTGTCACAGACGTGTTTTATGAAAAATCCTTTTGACAGGATCTTTTCTGGGAGGGTTCAGCTTCTCCACGTTTTGCTGCTTTGGAGAATTGTTTACCCAGCACGTGGAATTGTTTTTACTTGATGAGCAGTGACAGCCACCTGCGTCGAGGCTGTGAGCAGTCACAAGATTTTTGTTATCCATTCCATTCCTTTTCTTTCTAACTCTCTGATGGATCCTCTCTCTCTATTCTTTTTAGTATAGCATTTTAATATAATATAATATCATAATAAATCAGCCTTCTGTCACATGGAGTCACAATTCTCATCTCTTCCCTCATCCTCAGCCCCTCGAACACAGCCATAGTTTCCCACACAAATTCCATCTCTTTCCATAGGCAGGGACTCTTTTCACTACCCAGGGCTGCTCCAGCCTGGCCTTGGGCACTGCCAGGGATCCAGGAGCTGCTCTGGGCACTGTGCCAGGCCTGCCCACCCTCACAGGGAAGGATTGCTCCCTAATTTCTGAGCTGAACTAAAACACCAGGAAGTGCCACATCTAACACATGGCTCCAGGAGCAGGTGGGGGAAAAGAGGTCGGAGAGAGGAGGAGGCCTTGGGTTGAAAACTGGCTTGAACAGTAAAAAACAGCCACTCCATGGGGATTCCCAAACTCCCAGGATTAAACTCAGTGCCAGCTCGTGGCTGCAGTGAGCAGCTCCCTGTGAGCCCCAGAGGGGAGAGCAGCCCTGGAGCATCCCCAAACCCTTCGGCCCCTTCCCTGTGGTGTTGCCCCCAGAGATCCCTGGAGAGGATCCACAGCCCCAGAGCCCCCACACATCCAGTCCTGCCCTGGGACATTCCCAGCACTGCAGCAGGCACAGCCTGCCAGGCTGAGCTGGCACCTGCATGGCTGGAAGGTGCAAAGCCAGGGCTGTCACTGCTCTGTCCCATGCAGGGGACACATCTGAATACACCACAGCAGCAAGGGGAGCAGCTGAGGGCGTGCCAGGCTGGGAAAAGGGGAATGAGGCACTGGAACCAGGGGCCAGGAGCTGGCCAGGGGGAAGGGGTTGCACTCTGGTGCTCATTAACACTCTGCTAACGAGCTGCAGAGGCACTGGCTGAGCTCACTCCTGACCCACTTGGCTCCTGGTGCTCCTGCTCTTCTCCCAGCTGGAATGGCCCAGCTGGAGGCTCTGCAGGAAGCCCTGGCACCCCTGGCACCTGCCCAGGCAGCTCCATGTCCTTCCTCGTGCTGTGCTCCACAGGAACTGCAGCTGCTGGCCTGGGACAGCCTGGGACAGCCTGGGACAGCCTGGGGCCCCCGAGGAGCAGGGCTGCAGGCCTGTGAGGCCCAGCAGAAGCAGCAGCACTCACCTGTCTGCCTGTGCAGGGGAAGGTTTTGGGTTCTGGCCCCGCTGCCGTTCCTGTTTGGGGGACGAGGGTCTCCCAGTCGCCTTCCTATCGCGAGAGCCTGGGGGAGAGCAAAAGGACATTCCTTCATTTTCCTGCTTGGCACCAAGGCACAGACCACCCCCTGCCTGCACTGACTGGCCACATCATGCCAAAAAAAAGCCAAGTCCAGCAGTAGCTGGAAAAGCCTCCCTGTGTGTCCTCTGCAGCTCTGGGGGAGCGGAGAAGCCAGGCAGGGCTGTGCTCTGCAGTCTCCTGTACACAGCACCTTCCACCAGCCCTTCCTCACCTCCAGCTGCTGGAGCAAGGCTCTTCCATGGCATTCCATGCCTGCAGAGCTGCTGGCTCTGCCCTGGCGGGTCACAGGGTGTACTGGCTCCAGCAGTGACAGGTGAGGGCAGCTCTGCTGCTTTCGGAGCCAGCGGGGCCTCCCCCGAGGCAGCAGCACCCCCGTGTTTGTGCAGCACGGCTCAGCTGCCAGGCCCTGCCCCAACACAGCTGCCCTGGGCACCCAGGGATGCTGGGGAGCAGCTGGGCTAGCCCAGGAACACAGAGGGAATCCCACCTGGAAGGCAGCCTGTGGAGCTGCTGCCCTGCTCTGCCCCCAGCTGGAGCAGCAGAGGTGCCCAGGCCCTCGTGGCAGCAGCCCCTGCGTGTGCCAGGGCATCCCTCTGCTCCTGAGGATGGACACTGGGACAGCCTGAGCCCACAGGTGCAGGGCACAGAGCAGGTGACACACTCGGCCACCAGCACTGAGCAGTTTTGGTGCTGGGATGCCGAGGGGCTCAGTCCCAACTCAGCCAAGGGCACCTTTGCCATTGGAGTTGGGGCTCTGTGGCTTGGACTCCCCATCCCTGGAAGTGTCCAAGGCCAGGCTGGATGGGGCTCAGAGCAACCTGGGGTAGTGGAAGGTGTCCCTGGTTCTTTGGTCCCTTCCAGCCCAAATTAATCTGTGCTTCTGTGATTTGCTGCAGCTCAAAAATTACTTTTTGAGAGAAAGCAGAGGGTGACACCAATGCCTCTCTAGAAAGAGTCCTGGCCTGGCCCTGCCACCCGTGTGTGAACCAGACCCCAGTGAACTTCAACCTCGGGCAGTCCCTTGCAGGCTGCCCTGGCACGAGGTGAATGTTGCAGGTTATTAGCACAGACCTTCTGCTGGCTGGCACCCAGAGTCAACAAGATCCACCTACAGCTGAGCCACCAGGGAAAACAACATCACGTGGCAGCTCCCACGTCACCAGCAGCCACCTCTGGCTGCCAAGTCCCCCCACACCCCCTCTGCCTCTTGGCAGCCACAGCAAAGGCTGGAGGGTGGCACTGAGGGCCCTGTCTGTGGCTGCCAGCTCGGTTTCCTGGGCTGCTCCTGCTGCTGGCCAGGACTGAGGCCCAGGAGAACACTTGGAAAGCCCAGGTCTTTCTAAAGATGCAGGGCAGAGCGGGTTGTGTCACCCAGAGGTGGGGCAATCAGCCCGTGTCCCAGGCTGGCTGATGCAGGCAGGGCTGGATTGCATCCCTCCCTCCAGCCCAGCCTTTCGAAGCACCAGCCTGGCTGGCAGGGACAGCTCTCCCGGGAAAACTCCGGGATGCACCAAAGGAAACTCCTGTGACTCACAGTCCTGGGGTGCCTGAGGCCTGGAAGGGATCCTCAGGATCATCCAACCCAGCCTTCAGCCCAGCACCACCATGGGCACCCCTAACCCTGTCCCCAAGGGCCACATCCACACGTTTTTGGAATACCTCCAGGGATGGGGACTCCCTCCCTGACAGTCTGTTCCTTTCTGGGAAAAAACATTTCCTAATTTCCAACCTAAACCTGTTCTCCACAGCCACATACAAGGCCAGGAGCAGTGAGCAGGAGGCTGTGGGGTGGATGTGGAGGTGAGAACTCTGTGTCTTCAAAGCCAAGGGGTTGTTTTTTTGGACAGGACTCAGAGGGACACAGTGGAGGCACACTGGGCACAATGTGCCCCTGGGACAGTGTGACAAGGCTGGCACTGGCCTGCCCAGGGCCTCAGCTCTGCTGTTTTTGCAGCAGGATGGTCAATACCCCCCCTTTATCTGGGGGCAATGTCACTCTGAGTGTTGGGATGGCTGCAGTGGATCCTTCCAGCTGCTGGAAAGCAGAGCCCGGGCTGGAGGATGCCTCACCTCTGTCAGGTGACAGGTTGGCCCGTTTGGCTGGAGGAGAGCTTGGCCTCTCTTTGTCTGCTGGCTCGTATCTCTTCCTGCTTCCTTTGTCAGCTGCCTGCAATGGAATTAGAACAATGGAGCTCAGCAGCCACTTCCCCCTGCAGAGGGAAACAGGCCCAGCCTTTCCCTGGGATGTGCTGCCTGGCTCCTGCAAACACCTTTCCCAATAAACTCTGCACACACCAGTCCCAGCATTCCTGAACCCACCCAAT